TAATATTACTTAATTAATAAAACAAATACATGTATTATTATACCTTTATAATTAAAATATGTGGAACCAGAGTTGGATGGAGCCTGGATTACTATATGTTTACCATCGATTGCGCCAATGCAATTAGGGAAGTTCCATATATGATAAAACTGCTGGCTAATGCCCATCCACTCCTCTTCATTTGTAGGGGCTTTAACATACTCAGGTTGCAAAGCCTCCCAAATAGCCTTACATGTCTGCTGTAAAATTTTACATACAGTAGATTTAGCCACACGAAAGCTGAATGCAAGAGACACCTGTTCATGTGATTACAGAAAAAAGATGTGTAAGATCAAGAAAATAATAATAATTATTAATTTTTATTATTGTCATTAATCACCTGTGAGTTTCCTGTGGCAAGATATCTTATGGTAATTGCCAATCTCTCAGCAGGGGTTATTTCCAACCTTTGAGAATCACTACTATAATGCCGAGAACCAGCCAAAAAGGGTTCTACCTGAACATATTGATTACACTAAATTAATACTGCAATAGTTTACCTTGGTCAAAAGCTTGTCAAAGGTTCCTTTAGACATCCTTAGGTAAATGAAATGAGATTTAGGGTCTGAGAGGCGCATTTCTTGGAGCAATCGATGAAATTCACCTTGCTGAGAACGCTGAACAAATATAGAGCGAACCCACATTCTTCTCCTTCTTATTCTACGTCTCTTTCGCCTTCTGTATAGCATAGCAAGCAGTAAAACTTCCTCTTGACCAAAATCCTCCATTTTCTCTCAGAATGAGTGCTCTGTGATTTGAAAATGTATGTGAATGCTTGGACGCAACCCAACGCGATTGAAGGCGTTGCCACGAGAGGGCCTCGCGTTGCGTGGCTTTGCTATGTAAACCAGCCTTTAGTTAGCAAGCCTGAAGTCACTGGCTAAGGCAATGGGTCTATCCTCTGTGTACAGCCATGTGTATATGTATTAGCACATAAGCAGTCAGGACGAACTCATTATATAGGCGGTAGCCTATATGTAGGATTGAGGTTGATTTTTCAAGATGGCGGCGGTTTTTATGATTTTCAAACACTTACAACTCTTTTATCTTACGTTGCACAGCCTTATAAATGGCTTAGATGAGCTCTCCTTCACTGAGCGATTCTCCTGGCATCTTTAAGGTGGACTGTAATGTAGCGGGAGCATTTATGGAGAATAGGCCCAAATTCAAATTTCTGCAAAATTCTTCAGACTTTTTCTTTTTTCTTTCATCTTTCTTCTATCAACACGGAAATCCTTTAAACCAGGGAACCGCTCGAGTTGGCTTTTACATCATTCCTTTGTGCTTGAGTCAAGGACTGGACAT